TTTTTTAAAATTAAGTTTATTGGTACATTTTAGGTATACAGCACAATTACATTCATTATTGGGATCTTGTACCTTTATATGACAGGTCTTGGTTATCATTTTTTCCCCTTGTCCCTGCCCTCCCTTTACACCCTCCTCCCCTCCCTGTTAACCTAATGCTTTACTTTAATCTTCCAGAAAAAGAAGAGCAAGACAAACTGAAAGTTCATAGAAGGGAGGAAATTATAAAGATCAGAGCAGAAATTAATGCCATGGAGACTAAGAGAATTATACAAAAAAAATGAATCAAAGAGTTGGTTTTTTGAAAGAATAAATAACATCAAATAAACTCTTAGCCGAATTTATCAAAAAAGGAAAGAAAAGGCTTAAATTCACGCAGTTAGGAATAAAAATGGTGAAGTCACAACAGATCAAGCATAAATCTAGAGGATCATCAATACCTACTTTGAAAATCTATACTCTAATAAAAATGCAAATACAGAAGAAATGGACAGATTCCTAGATACATATGAATTATCAAAGTTGAACAAATAAGATATATTAGTCTAAACACCCCAATTACATTCAGTAAAATTGAAAATATAATTAAAACATTACCAACAAAGAAAAGCCCAGGTCCTGTTGGTTTCATTGCTGAATTCTACAAGACATTAGAGAAGAAAAATCACCACTACTCTTTAAACTCATCAATGAAATTGAAAGCTAAGTAATACTTTTCCAAATTCATTCCTGAAAGCAAGTGTTGTTTTGATTCCAAAACCAGGGAAAGATCTAACCAAAAAAGAGAACTACAGGCCAATCTCACTAGGGAATATAGATGTAAAAATCCTCAATAAGATGCCAGCAATCAGAATACAGGGGGTCACCAAGAAGATCATACACTGTGACCAAGTCTGATTTATCCCAGAGATGCAAAGATGGTTCAGCATATGTAAATCAATAAATGTAATAGAATATATTAACAGAGTCAAGGACAAAATCCATATGATCATCTCTATAGATGCAGAAAAAGCGTCCAACAAAATTCAACATATTTATGATAAAAACCTTATAGAAAATTGGAATAGATGGTCTTTATCTCAACCTGATAAAGACTATCTATGAAAACCCATAGCCAATATCATACAAAATGATCAAAAACTGAAAACCTTCATGCTAAAATCAGGAAAAAGACATGGATGTCCACTAACACCACTCCTCTTCAATATAATTCTAGAAACATTAGCCACAACAATTAGACAAGAGGAAAAATAAATAGAATAAAGATAGGAAAGGAAGAGTTAAACTGTCACTATTTGCTGATGATGTGATACTCTACATGAAAGACCCATAAAAATTCTTCCAAAAGACTTCTAGACTTAATTGTCAGATTCAGTAGAGTAGCTGGATACAAAGTGAACACTCAAAAAACAATAGCCTTCTTGTGCACAATAATAGACTCATGGTGAGAGAAATTAGGGAAATGATTCCTTTCACAGTAACATCCAAAAAATGAAATATCTAGGAATCAATCTAATGAAGGAGACAAAAAAAAAAAAACCCTCTACACTGAAAATTACACCACTCTGTAAAGAGAACGAAGAGGATATAAAAAAATGTAAAGACATGCCTTGCTCTTGTGTAGGAAGAACAAACATAGTGAAAATGTTCATATTTCTAAAACTACTATATGGGTTCAATGCAATTCTGATTGAAATATCAACAATATATTTCACAGAACTTGAGAAAACAATCTAAAATTTCATTTGGAATCAGAAGAGACCTAGAATAGCAAAAACCATTATAGGCAACAGAGACATGGCATTAGATATCACAATTCCCAACTTGAAACTATACTACAAAGTCACTGTGATAAAAACAGCATGGTACTGGCCAAGAATCATACTGGAGGACCAATAGAATAAATTAGAAGATGCAGAGACAACAACAGATATACTCAGCTACCTCAACTTTGACAAAGGACCCAAGCATGCTCACTGTAGGAAAGATAGCCTCTTTAATAAATACTGTTGGAAAAACAGGCTTTCTACTTGCTAGACCCCTATCTTTCATCATGCACTAAACTAAAATTCTAGTGTATTAAAGACCTAAATATCAAAACAGAAATGACAAACTTACTGGAAAGTAAATTAGGTAGAATTCTTGAAGACACTGGTGTAGCAGAAGACTTTATGAGCAAATCCTCAGCAGCAGGAGTACTTGCACAAAGAATCAACAACTGGGATCTCCTTGTATTCAAAAGACTTTTCAGTGAAAGAGAAGCCACCAACAGAGCTAAGAGACATCCTACAATGAAGAAAAAATTTTACCAGATGTTCCTCAGACAGAGGACTACTATCTAGGATATAAAAGAAATAAAAAAATCAGAACCCCCAAATACAAAGACCCAATTCAAAAATGGGCATCTGAAATGAACAGACATTTCTCAGACAAACACATAAAAGCAGCAAATAAATATATGAAAAATATTCAAAATCACTGGTCACTTGAGAGATGCAGATGAAAACAACACTGAGATTCCACCTTACCCTAGAAATGATGCTATCAATAAATCAACCAATAATAAATGTTTGCTGGCTATGGGGAGAAAGCAATCATTCTCCATTGTTGTTGGGAATGCAGACTAGAAAGTGAGAGTGCCTCTGCTCTATAGTTTTCTCTAATGTCAAAGTACCTTGTTCTGTAGTGGAATGTTCTGAACCATGAGTGTATCATTAGTAATAAATAGAATAATTTAAGATGATAGATATATGAAGAAACAGAAGGGGGAGAATGAAGAAGGATACACAACAAATTTTGACTACGTTTGTAAAGGTTTCTGTGGAGGGATTAAAATCTGAGCTACATGTGGGAAAATATTGAGTCAACAAAATAGTTGATACTACTGGTTGTTGTATTATGTTCTATACTTTCTTAATATTTAAAAATATTTATAATTTCTACTTATTTTTCTCATTCTGGAAGTGAAAATCAGTAAGGTCCCAATTATTACAGAGAATTTTATGATCAATCTTTATCTCTTTCATTCTTGTTCAATTTTCAGTTTCTAGATAGTGAAAAATGGCTTTTTGAATATTGGATATCAAAATTTCAATTAGATTAGGTGCATTTAAAAGGTAAAAGTCCCTCCCTCTGTCTCTTACACAGAAACTTTTTTTCTCTCAATAAATTTTTTTCTACCTTAGAAAAAAAGGTAGAACAGTTACCCTCCTTTACCACTTCATCAAATATTTTCTATTTTGTTCCCATTTTTGGAGGACAGTGTGAATTAATAAATGCAATCAATTCATTTAATTAATCTTTGTGTTGAATCAATCAATATAGCATACACTCCAGAAACCCATTACTCAAAATTTGGAGTTTCTTTTTGAAGGTATCTGACTGCTTTTAAATTTTAGTTTGGGATGGAATAGATAGTAATGTTAAAGATAATTTGGATCCACATTTGCTAGTGGTACCATAGTAGCTGATGGCATGTATCAATTTAGAGTTTATTTGGTACAATGTCTCAAATCCCAGTCCAATAGTATAAACCATGCTTTAATTTAAAATAATTCTAGCTTGTTGGCTTTAGCCACATGATCTTTACTCTATATCTTGAAAATAAAAGAAAAACAAATTAAAAATAATTTTTAAAAGTGTTCACTTTCCATCATACAACTCAGAAAGATGGGGAATTATTTGTTTCCAAAAGGGTAAAATGATAATTCTTGAGACAGTTACAGCAGATTACCCTGGAAAGTGAAATAGCTATCCTGTAATCTAGGTAAAATGCATTCATGGGAAGACTCAACATATCTTTAGCACTGAGTCAAATTTTTTAATTTGACTAAAGATTTTGTAATCAATAATTTACAAACAGAATAGAACTTTTCTTTTTTTATTGTTTTTCTATTTTCAATTCCTTCACTTTCTCCCTAAATTTTATTTCTTCCCCTTGCCATTCCATCTTGTTAATATAAGGAAGCTAAATCACTTAGTCTTCTGGTGTTTATCAAGATGATTAATTTTTTGGAAAATGCCTAACATTGTCTGAATAATGTCTCAGGGGTTCAATAAGTATTGATCAATATAATTTGATTAATTTTCATTTGCTCCATATTTATAGATTTCATATACCAATACTATTTGCATGTGCACTGCATAATGCATTCTTCAGGAAACAGTGTTCAGCTAATATCAAAATAAAGATTCAGTGATCAATTTTTTCTATTTTTGTAGATTTACACATTTCAAAATAATTACATATGTATTATTATAGATGATTATTCCTATGCCAGTAACAATCTTTATTGCTTGTTAAAATATATATGAAATTTTATACTATATGAATGAAATAAATTCATTTTAAAATAAACTATTGAATTATGGAATGATTAATTTAATCAATACAGTTTATTTGTATCCATTTAGGCTTCAGAAATATGTTTCAGAAAAAGGGTGAGTAGTTGACGTTTTGCATTTGCACACCATAAAGTCTCCCCACGAAGTACTCAACTCTGCTGGAGGAACAGGGTAAAGAAAAGAGAGAAAGGCAAAGTAAAAAGAATTAATGTGTGTTATAGACATGTGCCAAGTTCCCATGATGAATATAATATTTATGCACTGCAAGCACACACTAATAAAACAAAATTTAGAAAGAAAGAAAAGCAAAACGTTACCAGGTATGACCAACTGGTGAGTTATATTTCCAATTCTGCTTTAAGATAGATAATTTTTGTTTATATTTCAGGGGTTGTTGCCATTCTGATTTAACACTGAAATTTCAATAACATTAAGATAAAGTCAACAGTGGTGATATCTGATTTTTAATTAGTTAATATTAATTCAATAGTTTAAGACATTCACCTTAGATTATGGCTTTTTGTTGGGGTCATAATGGATTGTATTTCTAATTATAGTCCTTTCTAATGGGAAATTATGCATTTTTAAGTAACCGAGTTGAGGTATTCTAATCATTCACCTGATTAACTTGTGACAATCTTTAAAATAGCCCAGTTTTGCTCACTTCAGCAGCACATATACTAAAAAATTGGAACTACAGAGAGAAGATTAGCATTGCCGCTGCACAAGGGTGACATGCAAATTCGTGAAGTGTTCCATTAAAAAATAAAAAATAAAATAGCCCAGTAGTCAAAAATTAATACAAAAGTATTTCCAGAGATGTTTCTAAATAGATCTTTCTCACATATGTTATATCTCTGAAGAGATATCTCCTAAGTGAGACCATCGCTAAGGTCCCAATGTAAAATTGCCATACCCTGAATCACGTTTTAGTCTTTCTTGCTTAGCTTCATTTCTCCATATGTCCTAACAACATATGTTTTATTTTGCCATTTAAATCAATGTCTATCTCTTCCTACTTGAATGATTAAAAGGGAAAAAATTAAAATTGTTGTTCACTGACATTTAGAAATGAACATGAAACAGTATCACTTAATATTTGTCACAATAGTAAATAAAAGTGTGTTGATACATACATACATATCAAATACACTGATACATGCTCATCACTTGAATAAAAGTGTGTGTTAATATTGGGTAAACATGAACAGTTTGGAATATATTCTGAGGTGTCATACTTTGCAAAAATTCAGACTGAGATAAAAAGTTTTTAGTTTTAGTTTGGGGATATAAGATAAGCTTGTAGTTTTTTCTTAAGAGCATCTTGTATTACACAAATATGAAATGAATCTCTGAGGGTTTTCTTCAGTAGTTTACTTTTATCCTTTTATTTCTAGGTCTATCAGAGTACACATATGTCCAAATGTAGTGAAAGATGAACAGGGATCTAAATACCACAATCTTTAATATTCTTACTATCACCTCCAAGACTACATCTATATTTAGTAAAGTCCAATTTAAAAACACAAGAAAACATAGTATAGACCCTTCTTTTCTTGTTCTCCCCTCTAAGTACATCTAAACATCCTGGAAATAACTAAATAGACTATCTGAAAGATGGAAAGAAAAAGTGCCCAGAGGATTAGAAAGTAGACATAGTTGCAAATCCCTTTCAGTTTCTTTCCATTTCTCATAATCCTTTTTTTTTTGCATCTCTTATATATCCTATTATCTCTCATACATCTTTCTTGTCTGAATATTGGAAAAGGCTAACAGAGACATGACAGGAAGACCCATGACAACTGAGAGAAGCAGTCCGATGAATTTAAAGTAGCAGCAATAGTGTATCTCAACCTGACTGACCCACCTCCAACCCCACCCACAAATAGCAGGCAAGACAGCAAAACAAGCACCCTCACTGAAAATACCAAAAGTCCCTTTACCTCCCTTCACCGCACCCAGCAACTGAAGCTAATCTAGAACTGGGGTTAGGCGTTTCCAACCCTGTGTCCAAAGGCAGTGTACTACCCATATCCTACAATTTCTGGCCATCCACAGTGGCAAAAGGTGATTCTGGTACATTCTTTTTTCCCTAAAAATCTATCAGGGATAGACCGCAAAACTCAATAGTGCTTACTGGCCTGAGAACAGGTCAAAGGATATACTTCCTCTCCTCTGTGTGTGGATACCCCACTCTATCTGACAGTGTGAAACCCAAAGAACAATCTCCTCCTCAGAGGCAGGACCAGCAATGATCCAGCAGGAGTTCCTGTCTGAATGAAGCAGACAGGAAAATTCTAGGAAACATAAACTGTCTTTAGAATACAGACAAATAAAAGCAGGCTAGACACTGTTGTCAGGTAGCTCCTTCTAAACTCTCCAACTAAATCTAACTTGCCACATAATCATTATCAAGATCTGGGCCGCTTGCCTCTCCAACTGGAATTAAATTTCAGGTTCTTCTTGCCTTGAAAAAGAACTGAACAAAATAAGAAAAAGTGGCCAAATTTATTTGAAAAAGTGAAAGTGAAGTATGAAGAACAAACCGGCTCTGAAGAGCAAGTTTTGGCAAAGTAAAAAGGAAAAAACAAGATGAAAGTATACCCTGGATGCTGGGCATGGTAGCGCTCACCTGCAATCCCAGCACTTGGGAGGCCGAGACAGGAGGATTTCTGTGAGTTTGAGACCAGCCTGGACTCCACAGTGAGTTCCAGAGCAGTCTGAACAACATAGTGAGACCCTGTCTCAAAAAAGAAAAAAAAAAAAGTATACCCTGGAGGACACAGAATAGACTACTGTGAAGAAAGTCACAGTAGCAAGTTCTCTTTGCACCTGATTCCTTACATGTTGTCCAAATATCGAGGCAATCCAAGAGAACTTCGACATCTGGGTCCTAACAGTCGGTGCTGAGATTCCAAGTATCGGGCTGAAGTTGTCTAGGGCATGCTACTGAAAACCTGAATTCTCAAATCAGAAAGGGAATTAGGAATAGGGGAGGGAGAAAGGAAAGGAAAAGAAATAAAAGGGAATACTAGAAAACAATGGAAGCACTGCTTTTGTAAATAAGGAGAGGAAGAGGAGTTGAAGGGAGGGGAGAGAAAGGGGGGAAAGAGAATCAAAATATATCATCTATAGGTGCAGATTCCCTATGATGAATGTTACTGTGCATATCTAAAATGTACCAATGAATTTAATTTTTTTATAAAAGAAAACCTACTCCAGTTTTTGAGAGAAGTTTAGGTACAGAGCTTTGGCAACTGTTCTGGGCATGTGTCTGGGATCTTGTAATTATTGGTCATGTCTACTTTCCCAGCCAGTTTTGCCATTCTGTAATCTCATATCTCATATCTCAACATAACACATTAAGTGCAAGTGAGATGATTGCCTGCTAGCATTGAAGAGTCAAATGACATCAAGGGTCTCCTGACATAACATCTAAAATGCCCAGAATACAATTAAAATTCATCAGTTACTCCAAAAGAGCAATAAGGACATAACATAAATGATAATGAAAAAATCAATTGACACTAACATTGAGATAAGATGTTGGAACTACTGGACAGAGACTTTGAAAACAGCTTAGAAGTACTTATGAATTACCTTGCAACAAATGAAAAAGTATAAAAACTAGCAACTATATATGTATTATATGAAAAAAGACCAAATATAAGTCTGTGAAAACTGCAACAGAAAATTTTTGAAATTTCAGTATGGACTTAATAGTAAAGTGGAGAAGAAGAAATATGAAATCAATGGACTCAAGAGAACATTAATAGAATATACTCAAATTCAATAAACACAATGAAAATAGCCTACATAGGCACAGGTGCAAAGCCATCCTCCTGAGTTCTGCCATAATATTGGTAAATGTGCACACATCGGGGAGACCCTGTATGGACCAGAGTGTGCAGCTGCAGGCAGGTTCCAGGTGGGGTCCTGCTCTGAGCCCAGAGGTGCAGGCCAATGTCCTAAAGCCATGGGGATTCCTAGAAAAGAGCTCCACAGGCACAAAACCATCCTTCAGAGATCTACCATACCATGGGTAAGCGCACACATACCCAGGAAGCAGCTGTGTAGACCAGAGTGGCAGAGTTCCAGCTAGGGCCCCACCCTGGCCCAACCCTAGAGATGTGGGCACATGTGCCCAAGCCAAAGCCCACCTAGAAAAGAGGGGCACAGGTGTGCTAGCTTCATCCAGAGTACCTCCATACCATCCGCTTGATGGACTCACTGCTGAATTCTATGAGACATTTAGAGAGCAACTAGTGCCACTCCTGTTTAAATTCTTCAATTAAATTAAAAGCAAAGCAATACTCCCTAATTCATTCCTGGAAGCAAGCATCACCTTGATCCCCAAAGCAAAGACCCAATCAAAAAAGATAATTATAGAACATAGATGTAAAAAACTTTAATAAGATACTCACAAATAGAATTCAGAAGATAGGAAATCATTAAGAAGATCACACACCCTGACCAAGTGGGATTCATCCCAGGGGTGCAGGGATGGATCACCATACACAAATCAATAAATGTAATGCACTATATTAATAGAGCCAAGGACAAAAAATAGAGTAATCTTAATAGATGCAGAAAAAACATTTGACAAAACCCAACACACATTTATGATAAAAAAAAACCTTCAAAAATTGAAATAGTATCTACCTTTATCTGATACAAGCCATCTAAAAAAACCAACAGCCAATAACATAATAAATGGTCAAAACCTGAAATTCTTCACACTAAATTCAGTAACAAGACAAGGATGTCCACTATCACCACTCCTGTTCAATATAGTTTTGGAAACATTAGCCACAGCAATTAGACAAGAGACAAAAATGCAAGGAAAAAAGATAAGAAAAAAAGAAATCAAATTGTCATTATTTGCAGGTGACATGATACTCTTTTTAGAAGACCACAAGAACTCCACCAAAAGTCTCTAGATTTAATAACAAAGTTCAGCAAAGTAGCTGGATACATGTTAACACTTAAAAATCAATAGCTTTTCTGTTAATGAAAAACAGACTCACTGAGAAAGAAGTGGGACAAATAACATCTTTCACAACAGCATCCAAAAAAATGAAATACCTAGGAATCCACCTAATGAAAGAAAGCAGCATATTTCACAGACCTTGGGAAAACAATCCAAGAATTCATTTGGAAGAAGAAGAGATCTAGAATATCAAAAGCAATTCTAGGCAATAAAGGCAAGGTAGGAGGTATCACAATCCCAGACTTGAAACTACACTACAAAGCTACTGTGATAAAAACAACATGGTACTGGCAAAGAAACAGACCTGAGGACCAGTGGAACAGATTAGAAGAAGCAGAAACATTTCCAGACTTCAACAAAGGAGCCAACACCCTCATTGGAGGAAAAGAGGAAAGATAGCCTCTTTAACAATTGGTGCTGGAAAAAACTTGGTTTCAACTTGCCAAATATTTAAACTAGATCTATATCTCTCACCACACACTAAACTATAATCAAAATGGATTAAAGATCTAAATATTAAAACAGAAACACTAAACCAGCTGGAAAAGAGGTTAGGTAAAACTCTTGAAGATATTGTGTAGGAAAAGATTTTATGAACAAAACCTCAGTTTTCCATGAACTACCACAAACAACAGTTGGGATCTCTTCTTATTAAACTGCTTCTACATATCAAGATGAACAAAAGTGTGAAGAGACAACACACAATGTGGGAAAAAAAATTTCACCAGCTCTTCCTCAGACAAAGGTCTGTTGCCTAGAATATATAAAAAAAACTTTAAAAACTCGGACATCCCAAATTTAAAGACCCACTACAAAAATGGGTATCTAAAATGAACAGACATTTCTACAAATAGCAAATAAACATATGAAAAAATGTTCAACATGACTGGTTATTCTAGAGATGCAATTGAAGAAAACACTGAGATTCCACCTCTCCCCAGAAAGAATGGCTGCTATCATGAAATCAACCAATGACAAATGCTGGTGGTGCTGTGGGGAAAGAGGAACCCTGCTCCGCTGCTGATGGGAGTGCAGACTGGTGCAACCACTGTGGAAATCAGTATGGAGATACCTCAAAGAACTGGGATTGGAGGTCAATTTGACCCTGCTACCCCCATGCTGGGTATCTTTCCCAAAGAATTAAAAGACTCATACCACAGTGATATATATGCACTCATGTTCATAGCAGCCATAAAGAATGAGAAACTAGAGACATTTATAGCTAAATGCATGCACAGATGATACTCTTACATGAAATAAATAGGATACATATGTAAATACTAAATAGTTTCTTTAGTGTGAGAAACTCAAAGTGTAAATAAGTACTAAAAAGTGCAATAGATAATGTGAAATAGGAAGAAAAGGAGCAAAGGGGAAGGGGAAATGTGAGGGGTAGGAGAAAAGAAAGATGGGAATGGAATTAACATGAGAAAAAGAAAACATGGAAACAAAGTCTTTGTAGACAGAGAGAGTGGAGGGGTTGAAGGAAAGCAGGGGAATGGGGAAAAAATAAGAACCAAAATGGATTATGTACAGGTGTAAATTTCCAATAATGAATGTCACTGCATTATATACCTTAAATGTACCAATACAAGTAATTAATAAAAAGAAAATAGCCTGCATAGAAAATAAATTAAGCATTTTTTGTGATACCAAAACAAAACAAATACATCATTTGGGTTTCAAGCAGAGGAAAAAGATGTGACAATGACAGACTAAAAATAATAGTTAAAAAATTCCTAAATTTGGTTAAAGGCAATCTTACAGATTCAAGAAGCTGGGTGAAATCCAACTAAAATAAATACAAAGGCATCCTTGCCAAGACATATTTCAATTAAACTTGTAAAAACTAAAAATAAAGGAAAAGCTGGGCCTTAGTGGCACACACCTGTAATTCCAGCACTCAGAAGGCTGAGGCAGGAGGATCACGATGACTTAGAGTGAAGCCTGAGTTCAAGGCTGGTCCTATCTCTCTCTCTCTCTCTCTCTCTCTCTCTCTCTCTCTCTCTCTCATACACACACACCGAAAAAATCTTTAAAATGGCCAGAGAAAACAACACCTAAAATAAAAAAGAACACCAGTTCTAATTATAGTGAATTTTTCATCTAAAAGTATATATAAAGTATTGACACTATGTTTTCAAACTGTTGAAAAACTTAACCATAAATCTATATCTGGCAAAACTATCTCTTGAGCATAACAGGGGAAATGCATGAACATTGTCAAACCAAAGGAAACTACAAGGATTTGTCCCCAGCAGAAGTAACTTTAGAAAATGTACTCTAAACAGAAAGGAAATGAAGGGAAATACTTACAACTACTGAATGGAAAGATGGGTAACAGAATAAGAAAAAATAGAGCAAAATATTAATAAATCATTATTATCAGTTTTTAGATTATATTTTATACTTAAAGCAAATATCTAATCTCATGTGTTACTCAATGTGTGTAGCAGAAATAGTCTGAAATAATTATATTTTATTAGTAGGAGAGACTAATGGCACATAAAGGCAAGGGAATTTTTAATATTTTCTTCATAATAATAGAGTATTGATACAAATAGGAAAATAAAAGATAAAATAGCACATTTAAAATTAAATATACCAACAATTACTTTAAATATGAATGACTTCAACACTGATGTTCCTCAACATAAGATGGATGTCATCGACCCATTGTAAATTGAAAATATTATAATTGCTATGTTTATTGCAGCACTATTCACAGTAGCCAAGGAAATGAAGCTACCTATGCGTTCATCAACTGATGAATGAACTAAAAATGTGGGAAATACACACAGTGGAATACTCTTCAGCTATTAAAAGGGATGAAATTCAGTTATTTGCAGCAATTCAAAGTAATTGGACTTCTGGTGTTAGGTGAAATAGGCCAGGTTTGGAAATAAAAGTATATCATGATCTCACTAATGTATGGAATATACAAAATTTTACCTCATAGGAGTTGAGAGTAGAATTAGTGGTTACCAGAAGCTGGGGACAATGAAAAAGGGTGTGAGCAGAAGTTTGGGGTGCTGAGTTACTGTTAAATAGCAGTAAGAAGTTTTGGTGTGCTACTGCACCAAAATAAATGCAAGTAAAATTGGAGAAACTGAATCAGTAGATTATGTCAGTGGTAGTATTCTCATTGTGACTGTATACTATAATTTTGCAAGATGTTATTACTGAGAAAAGTGAGGTAAAAGGTAGACAGACTCTCCTTGTATTATTTCCTTCAACTACATGAGCATTTGAAATGAATCCTAGAATTTAAAAAAATCTATTGCTATAATAATTTTTCTTTCATAATTCTAAATTGTCAACTATTGGGATGTGTTATAACAATGATTTGAGATGGATGATTCAAAACACTTCCTTACATCATTTCTGTCTACAAGGTCAAGTAAAATACGACGGAATCATTGTGAATAAACTTAAATGAACCAGAAGGACTGTCAAGAATGAAACAAATGCAAAGGATAACAATATACTTCTTTTTTGAAAATAATGAGAATTAGATGTGCTAGCGACACAGCAGTTTTTGATGCAAATCAGAATTAATAAAAGAGAAATTAGAACTGATGAAAGTTGCTAGGCACTGCCTAAAAGCAAAAACTATTTTAGTAATTAAAAACAAGTCACTGATACCTCTTCTTCCACTTTTCCGGTTTCCAGAGGAATTAAAGTGTGTCCATACTTAATTTTCTCTTTTAATTATGAATGATTTCTCCAAAATTATTGACCATTTTCTTCTAAAGTTACAGAAAGGAAACTAGGCCTTCCACATTTCAGAAGGAAACTGGGTTTTACACATTTGTGTAATTGTAGTCAACTTTCATGTGAAAGGATATGTAGGCCATTACTCAGATTCCCACACAAACTCTGAGATTGACATGGCACTGAGTTTGGTTTCAAATCTAGTGTTGGCTCTCTATTTACTCCAAGGGTAACTTCCACTAATTTCACATGGAATCACTGCTGCACAGTCATGCCTGGCTTCAGTTAAGTTAATGAAGTGAATTTACATGAAATGATTTATGTGATTTCATGTCGATGTCTTTAGATTATGTTCTGTGGATGAGGACTCAAATTTATAGCAAACTTATTCATGTAAATACTTTATAGCAGAAAGCTGAAGTTCATTTGTAATTATTTCCTACATTTTAAATTAGAATTACTATTGGCTCTGACTTCAAACTTTTATTCATGAAATGTGTTATAAGTTCGACTTCAGCAAAGAAAATGTTGTTATCTGTACATTCTCTTTCCTTATAGAAATTCTCTTTCCTTAAGTAGTTTGCCAGATAATAAATCAGTGATCTTTTATTAGAAAAACTATTTCCACTTTTAGCATATACATTTTCATAGAATCAATTCCTACTTGAGTTTGATTGAATGAGAATGCAGTACATACATGGATCTTTTATTGTAAAATATTTTTGCTATTTACCAGATATGTCACATGAACTACTTTTTTGAAATCTGAAATCATCCTAATGTCTTGCTTTAAAATACGAGAAATTTTACTTTCCTGAAAATTTGCATTGTTAGGAATATGTAATACAAAAATAATTCAAATGCCATTAAGGTTTTTAAGCTGTCAGCTGAATTCTGCACACTGCATTTATTCCCTTCACATTTGCTACCAAGGAAAACTGCAAAGTCAAACATGTTCTTACAAAAAGCACTATAAGCTGCATGCAAATGAGACCACTTTTCCTGAGGTTCTATCTTCAATTTGATAGTGCATTTAAGTGCTTGCTTTCACTTAGAATAGACCGAAATATACAAATAGAAACCGAGAGCAGTGAAAATGCCATTTATCCAAGATTTTCCCCAGAAATAAAAAAGAATCAAAACAGATTATTCTGTCTCTTTAAAGCAGTACTTGATTAATTAAGCAATTATTTTCTATCAAGAAATACAAATACTAAATGTATAAACAAGTGCTGCAAGTAATGGACAGACAAAAGGAAATGTAAATCTGGCAATTTTATGGAATACTATTGTTTTTAAGTGATTCCATATCTTTATTTTCTTTTGTGAGCCAAATGCCACAGATGATTCAAAGCTGCAGCCATGGCTTCCCACTGTACTCTTCCCATTTACCAAGTGATAGGAGCTTTGTAGACATGTAAACTTGTTAATTCATATGAAGAAAATGCCAACCATTGTTTCTTCCTTGATTTATGATTGTTAAACACAACTTATGATTATAATATTGACTTTCATATTTTGTCTTACCAATTTTACCTACCTCATAATTATTTCTACAGTAAAATTGTTTCTACAGTTTCCTACCTTGGGGGTATTTTGAATGGCTGCAACTTTGACAGGCAGCTTGTATAGTGGTTCAAAGCCTGACTTTTGTTGTCAGATACAACTGGGTTAAGGTTTTGAGTCTTCCCCTATGCTACAGAGGGTAAGTCACTAAATCATTCACAGCTCATCTCTGTGTTTTTATACAAGAGGTGTAACTATTCCCAACTCATTAGTGAAATAATGTTTGTAACGTTCTTACATGAGTAATAGCATTTAGAAATCATTATCTTTTACTATCTGAGCTTGTCCCATGTGCATGTGATAGTGAAAAAAAATCTCAGGAAAAGAAGTTCTGCTTATGATAAAGGTAATTTTAAATACAGATCAACTTAGTTTGTGTATTAGATTGTATATTGCTTGAAAATTTTACCTGTTCTCTATTTTGTGGGAGAATATCTCCTCTTCCTTTGAATTTAAAGTCTCTCAATGTTTCTTGAGAAATGAAAATGGGCATAACCTTGAGATGTCTACAGGCTGGGTCCTATAACAGAGCTGAGCCGAGATAAGAGCAACCGCACTGCTGTATAGTAGTAGATATCTAATTACTGTGAATAAAAAATAAATGTTGAGTATAAGTCATTTGAATGATGAAGTTTTTTTAACCTTAAGAAAATAACAAATATAATAAACAATATCTATAAATTGAATACAACAACAACAAATCTCTAAAATATGACTTTTGCTTTGGAATCCAGTGTCTGCATTAGGAATCTATTAATATAGTCTGGAAAACTGGTAACTCATAATATGCAGTCACAAAACAACATGAACTGCAAATGATGCGTAGAATAAATGTGTGGCTTTAGGCGAGGGATTTTCAACAGTCAGTGTTGCTAATGTACCTTGGATGCCATTTGTTTCATTTGACAAAGCATGACAAGAAAAAGACATTTTCAGAAAGAATCCATCATTTTTCTTGAAGGAGTGAGTTGCAGAAAAGAAAATTTCAGGACTTGCATTACTGAAAGACAAAAATATTTATCTTCTGAACACCTAAGGGTGGTTTAGTTTTGGTGTTGGGCAAAGACTAAAACAAGGATGGAATCATGGAAGCTTTTATTGAAGCCTTTGACTGGACTAAGGTGGCCCCAGAAAATCCTGCCAATTAGAATAAATGAGCACAAAGAGGTAGTAATCTGGTCTCTCAGAAGCAGCACAAGTTCAAAATACCTGTGATTACCTCCAGAAAGAGAAATGTCACAGGAAAGCTATCGATGGACTACTGGCACATAAAACTGACTGGAATTGAGCAGATAAAATGAAACATTGCTAAGAAAGACCAACTATTTGAGGTGTAAAATGACCTGTAGTATCTGTTATTTGCTGAAGCAAGAAGTAGCCTTAGATAACTGTTCAGCCTGTAGAGAATTTATGTCTCTACCAAGCAAAGATATTATAGGAACTCCTATATTACAAAACCAAGGAAGACAGAGACCAGTGGTCTTTGAGCCCCTTGAGAAACAACCTATACTATCAAGGTAAGGGACTCAAACAAGTTGTCCCTTGTAATTTGTATTAGACAGTGATATGCATCTTCCATTCTTTGCATCTTCCATTCTTTCTCTATGAAAGGGAGAATCTGGTGTATACGTATCTCTTTTCTCTTCCTCCCATGCATCATTACAACAACATTATTGAAATGGGAGGAGGCACATAATTTGCCTGGTTGTGTCATAAATTCTAGAGCTTGACAGCATTCCATGAGATCCCAAAACTGGAGAGGCTACTGACTGGATGAGACTTTGGGTAATTATTTCTGGGGAAGGGTATGGGTGGATTTTGAGCAAAATAGAAACAAAGAGAAATACTTTCACTAAACAAGTAGATGAGAATAGATTTCAAATATTCAATCCCTTCCTCAACATGGACACTTAGTAATCTGATGCTATGACCTAGTCATGTGATATGCTTCAGTCATTGAAATGTGGCCAGACATGATGTTTATGACATCAAAACTTTTAAAATGTAAGGCTAAATTTTACCAGAAGTAAATAAAGCGTGGAGCATAGTTTTGGCCCCCCTATACCCTAGAAGAAACCCCAGTGTCCATGTAACATGAATGCAAACAAAATTCTCATAAAAACCACTGAGAATGTGGGTTACTTGCTACCATAGTCAAGTTGATATGGTTGTCTGGAAACTCAGTTTTTAATTGGGATTTTTGCTTTATCTCTACTTGACAAAGAAATAATACATTTTTCCACCAAAACAATGTGTTATCTTTCTTTTAAAGGTGAAATTATTATACATCAAACAAGAGAGAAATTGAGAATAACTACTAGCCACCATTATAAAGATGCTAATATACCTTGGATGCCATTATCTATGCTTTTCGGCATTAAAGTTTTAGAAATTGCAGTGTATATAGTTTCAGAGACTATAGCTACCAATTACGGATCAGGAGCATCCATAATCCAGGAAAAATTAAAATCTGAAACAGTCCCAAACCCAAACATTTGAGCACCACATGATACCTCTCTTCATTACTTTCTCATTGCTGGAACAAAATACTCAACAACCACAACATAAAGGAGGAAATGTTTATTTGGCTCACAATTTGTAGAGGTTCCAATCCATATTTGGCTTGCTCCAAGACAGGGAAGCATGACAAGAGGGCACTGGAGAGAAGAAACACTCTATGGTATGCCAGACCATAGAGACCATAGAGGAGCAGTACCAATCTTTCCTTTCCCTTTTTATTCCATTCAGGCTACAAGGCTATTGGTTGGTGATGCCTACTCTGATAGTGGGGCTTCACATTTCACACACCCAGAATTAGGATAAACCAATCAGTGAACTAATCCAGTTATTACATGCCCACAATCCAGTATCATACACCTGTGATCCAGCCACTTCTCAAAAGTCCCATCTGGGAGCATATGAGGCTTTGGGAGACATTTTAGATATAAAACATAATAACACCCCATGTGGAAAATTCTACATTTGACTTCATGTGATGCATTATGATCAAACAAAATGTGTACTAAAAATGCAGCATAAAATTGCCTTTAGCCTATTTGTATAAAGTATACATGACATGTATATAAAATTTGAACACAAAATTAGACTCTGTTACCAAGATAGGTCATTATATATTTGCAAATATAGTTGTTTCTCAATTCACAAACTCAATTTGTTCCACAATTTTGGAAAAAATGATCATGTTTGTGCTTGTGCAGGAAAGATGGCCACAGTTATGTTTGTAACCTAAAGTTTCCAAACAAAACAAAATTTTTCCAAATGCTTTTGTTTGCAAACAAAATTGTTCATAAGCAAAAGTGTTTCCACTGTATTCCAAAATGTGAAATATTTATGGTCGTAAGCATTTTGAGCAAGGAAAATATCCTTTGCTAGTATATTAGGGACTTTACATGTAATATCTTTTAAATCATCACAACAATAAGAAGATGAAAAATTATTATCCGTATTTTTATACGCAAAGAAAGAAATATTCAGGCAGGTAAAGAATTTTCCTAAAACCACAAAGCCAAGAATGGGAAGAGCCAGAAGTGCTGGCCCTGTTTTATCCTGATAAAGATAATGCTCATTCAATTCTTCTAAAATAGTTTGTTGCTGGTTTTTCACATGACTCTGCCATTGCACTGTGACAAAAGTCATTGAAACAATCATTTTAAATTCCCTGTATTGGCTTATTTATTTTATATTGCATAATTCTACAAGGATTAAAGCTGAATCAGTTGATACAATCATTTCTGTCTTCCTTATTGGATGAGCTGATCAATCATATGATTAGCACGCTGTATTCATAAAATAGGCTTTGACTGTAAAAACTGTAAAAAACAAAAGAAACTTCATACAAACAATCTTTGACCTACAAACACTCACAGTGAATATCTAACAGACACTAATGGATTCAACTAAAAGTGAAATCTCTTAAAAATTATTTGAAAACCATCCTACTATTCATATAATAAACTCTAGGTTTGGGGTGTAGCTCAGTGTTAGAATACTTGCCTACAACATTCAAGGCCCAGGTTCAATGAACAGAATTGAGAAAAGAGAGAAAAAGAAAAGAAAAACCTAAACTAAACTCTTTACATGGTGAAGAGGGTCCTACATTCTCTTTCCATTCTCCCATATTTTTTTCTGAGTTTTTGACACGTTGGATTTCTTCTTTTTTCCTTCATACTCACTGAATTCATTTCTATTAAAAGGTCCTAGATAATCTGCATTACAGAAAGTGTAAAATGTATAATAGATAATGTGAAATAGGAGGAAAGTGTTCAAAGGGGAAGGGAGAGGTAGGGGAAAGGAATAAATATGAGAGAAAGAAAAAATGGAAACAAAGTCTTTGTAAATGGGGAGGGGTGGAAGGGTTGAAGGGAGGGCAGGGGAATGGGGAAAATATAAGAACCAAGATATAGCATGTACAGGTACAAATTCCCAATAATGAGTATCAGGATATTGTATACCTAAAATGTGCCAATAAGATTAATAAATTTTTAAAAACAAAAACAAAAATACCACGTCTCATTCTATGTCAACATTACAGGAATGTTAATTCAAACTTTACCCTCTCACAAAGGTATTTTCTAGCAACTTCCTTGGTTATGCTTTATAATATTACTTTCATAATATTATTTTCATCTTTATCAGAATACTTAGGTATTTATTATCTCCATGCTTGTTGTTTTGCTCCTTCTACTCAATGCAACCTTTATAAAGAAACGGTCCCTGCCTTATTTACCTTATATGTATAATGCCTAAAATATTGTTTGGCACATGACAGATACATATAGGTTTAGTCTGACATTGATCTTTAGTTTTTCATTCCACTTTTTCCCCAAATGACTCTTGTGATAAATCTCCTTTCTCACTATTTTTTAACTCAAAAAATACAAAACACATCTTTGAGGTTTACCCATCCTCAGTACCATTCCTAGATGCTGCTATCCAGCCAGCTTCTATTTTTTCTTTCTATTCATTGAAGATTTAGAGGGTTATTAAAACCTGGCCGATCCTTTCTATTCTTTCTTCTAGAGATTTATATTTTCATCTATACATAGTCTGAGAAGCTCATTGCTAAAGACAGAATATTATGAGAAATAAATGTCTGTTTATAAGTCACCTAGTTTATGGTAGCTTATTACAGTAGCCTGAATAGATTAAGACACTTCATAATTCTAGGTAAAGCAAGTGATTTTACCTACCTTCTACACCACTCACCTACCCTCCAGGCTGCCTTCACCTAAGGCATTATACGGACTCAAAATAGGAATGCCAGTAGTTCACCTGCTAAACAATATCCCTCTGTCTTTCCCACTGTCCTGAACTTTATCTGAGTTTCCCCCCCCCGGGCTTTGACTTCATAAAGGCCTTTGTCTCTACGAGGTCAAAGAACTTGAACCTCTCCATTCAAGTTTCTTCAGTAAGCACTCTTTGAGCTCTGCAATGTCTGCTTTATCTTAAGACTCTATTTTGTCTGGACCTCAAAGTGAATTATACAGGAAGGACAAACTAAGTTATTAGTTTACACGCATGTCTGAAATATTTTCTTTTTTATGCCCTTCCCCCTTTCCTTCTC